TACCTTCCTGGATGAGCATGTAGCGACTCTAGATACTGCTTTGCTTTGTTGTTACTGTGTAGCACTCCCATACACCAATCATGCACACAGCAACAGTGGAAGGGAAAAACTCCCTTTTAACGGGAAGACACCTCCAGCAGAACCTGGCTCAGACATAACGATAACTATAAAGACACTTATAATGATAAGAAGAGAATAGGATTGAACAGAGCAAAATAGAATGAGTAAGTGAAAAAAGAAAAAATAATGTGGGGGTATTAATAAAAATCATATTTAGTTAAAAATAAGAAATGAGAAAAATTTAAATAAGAATTAATTTAATTATCTAGCTTCTACCCACAACATGTCTTCTTGTCTAGGAGAAACATCTGTTTGCACTGACTCACTGACTTTACAGAATTCATTCCTCCTGGATGAGCATTTATCAACAGTCAACATTGTGTTGCTGGCTTCGCAGCAATCCTTCACTAAGTGGAGAGAAAAAACAACAAAACTCCCCTTTTAACAGGTAGGAACCTCAAGCACAACCAGACTCAGGGTGAATGGCGCAGTAAACATGAAAAATATTCCCAGTGCAGGTAAATATCTGTGCAGGTATATCATCAAGATGAGGATAGTATAGAACATTGGTTCCTTCCTTCCCATAGCATTCCAAATGTATTTTAAAATGGCCATTTGTGTTTTTATCTGTATAGAGTATCTTTTGACCTATGTTTTAGATACACCTTACATACCTTTTCCTTAGACTTTACAATTACCTGCTAAATTTTGTTGGTTTGTCCCTCTAAACCCCATAAAAATGTATTCAAATACGTGATTCTAACATGAAAGGTTTAAATAATAAAGTTAAAAGGTGGAATTAAACTGAACATCATAGTAATTATGGGACTAGAATCTTCTATTAAGGAGAAAAAATGTGGATCATTAATTCAGGCATCACTGGTTTCTTTAACCCCTGCCTTCAAATGCATGAACTGTGTTAAACATAAACACTTTGAAATATTTAAAGAGCATACTGTATTTATGTATCCATCAGCACACAGGCTGGTAAGCACACTGATCAGTTACACATAACACGACCAGCTTTGTGATCAATACCTCTTTAAGGATTCTCGTTAAATTTAACAGCACTGATCAAATTCTTCTTTCCGAGAACATAACCGTGTTAAAAGTACAGCATTAGGCTGTTTATCACTAACAGCCAGCCATAAATCTGCCTCCTCCCCTGAGGATCCTAAATAGCAGCAGCTGGCTATATTAGTGCTCAAATGCGTCTTGTCTACAGCCAAGGGACCAGCTCTGACTATGTTCTAAACAAGGCAAGTTAATCAAATAAAAACTCTGTGTGTAACACAGAGTCGCATATACTATCTAGAGCTGTCCTCAGAGACAAAGAATAATGCATTTAATGCGCTTTGGCTCTATGAGAAAATGTATATCTTCCAGATGCTCTCAGCAATAGAAAGACAGAACAGGAAATGAAGCAGAGAACAAAGGAGCCAGGTTAAACAAACATGTCTACAGGACACCTGAGAGGAAAGGAGGTGGACAGACAACCAACAGGGAAAAGGGGGCAAGCAAGTACTTCTAGTTAGATGGATGAAAACCTTTTGCAAAAAACAGATAACAATAATTCGTATACAATAAAGGAAACAGTCTCACAAGACATACAGGTTTTGAACTATGTATGCAGAAAAAAAACATACTACAGTAAAGCGAACCAAAACAGTCTCACTCCCAACTTGTCAAATATTCACCCTCCAACAAGTCCTTTGTGCTTCAGATACTGATGCAATGGGGGTACACCTCTCATCATTGAGTCAGAGGGCACCTTAAAGGCTGTGAGGGGGTTTGACCAAGCGTCAGTATTTGATATTTTGGGAGTGATAATGTGTTAAACAGGTAGAAGGAACCTCTCCCTGCTTCTGCTTTAGCTTCTGCCATACAGTTGCTTTATTGAAGCATACATATCAACCAGTTCTCTGTTTTTTAATGAGTGTCTGAGTGTGAAATTAAGTTCATTTTATGAAACATCTGGTCCACTTGTACACAAAGTAAGTGTATCATTTATATTTTGCCCATCTTAGCCATGCAGGATGTATCTATGGATTAACTGTAATGCATTTGTTTCAATCCACAGTCAGGGAGGCATCTGTAGCCCACAAACCCCGGTTTTTATTTTCTACATACATATTGCGTATGATATTGGAAGAACTAAAGCCTAAGACATTTGCCTTCTAGCAGTTGGGCATATGCAAAATTCTGCCTAATTTTTCACATTTACGGACCAAAAACCAGAATTTTTGCTTAATTTAGCACCTTCTTAAACTAAAATTTGAAATGTGTGTGTGTTTTTTTTTTTTTTTTACAGTTATTATGGTAGGATTGTGATGTTTCACATTTATGGGAAAACATGAAGCAACAAGTTCACTGTTAATCACAAAACAGGCTTATATTGGAGGCTACTGCACTTTAGTTTAGTAGGATAGCTATCCAGGAGTTAATCAGTTCTGTTGACTTGCACTAGAGCAATCTGTAGTTCGAGCACTGATGTTTTTTAGTCCAACGGAGGTCCGTTCTCCTAAGCATAAACCAAGTCAGTTGGAAATCAGACCCATCTGTCGTCCTCCTGGTTCCATTTTTCAGTACAAATTCTATGGGTGCTCTATACAATATCTGTAATATATAAGCACTACTGAAATGATTTAGAAAACGAGGTAAGTCTCCCATTAGGACAGCCACTTTAAGCATTCAGCACACCAGAGAATAAAGGTGCAAACACAATAAAGAAAAATAAACAAAATTGACTGTTACATTGTGCGGGTTTTGGCCCTTTTTGGTCCGATTCTCCAGTTTTGCGAGAATTTTGTCAGTCTCAACGTGTGTCCTCTGTCATGCAGTATACAGTAGGTAACGAGGGGCAATTAGCCACTCACAACCACCTCCCGATCAGGAAACTTTCGGTGCACTTTGTAAAGTGTATGAACATACATTATGAGCTAAAAACTTTTAAACCCTGCAGTTTATTATCATTGTACAGTGTATGCCCACCTTAAATCTTCATTAGTTTCGATGCAGTGTCTACATAAGTTAGCATGAGACAAACTGACATTATTATCATGTAACAGCTGGGCCATGTTCAAAGCATACAGTAAATACACATTTAATAGCAGTGAAGCACATGTGCGCTGGTGTCTTGTTAGCTCTAATACTTTTTTACTCCTGCCTGGTCAGAGGAACTGAGTTACACAGGGCATAAGTCAGTCTGGTGAGGCTCAAACTCCTCGGTCTTTAACAGACAGGGCCAATCACAGCTCAGAAAGAGAGAGTTTACTCTTAGCTCCAGAATAACCAATATTGCAGCTGCAACACACTAAGGTTTTGTGATACCCTTTATCATGTGCAGGTGAGCCCGAAATATCTTTAAAACTTATGTAAAGAAAATACATCTTTTGGTTTTGTCATGTTTGTTGTGATCGACTGATTCATCAAGTACTGTCCTGGTTCATGGTCCCAGGCTCTACCCACTCCTTTCCACACTGAGCATCATGTTTACAATCCTCTGGTATTTTATGGTAGAAAATGTTACACTTTTTTAAGTGTAAGGGAGGAGCTGAGGTACTGGCCTTTGAAAATGTATCAAACTCTTAAACTTTTAAAATGAATGCTGAAGGTCTGATAAAGTCTTAGTGACTGCAAACATTTGATGTCATTTTAAATCCAAATGATGCTATTCTACAAAGATCTGATAACTATCTTAAAGAAGTCGACAGCCACGTATCCAGTGTAGAACAAAGTTGTGTGTCCTTAAAGTATTATAAATAACTATTATGTAAGTAAATTGTGTTAACATCCTAAATTTAATAGTTGAAATATAGATTAGTTGTTCTAAGCAGGGAGGGGATTCTTTTACTCATCTTAAACATTTGAAGTGCATTCCAATGCAAAGGTAGTGAAACGATAAAAGATCATTTTTCGTATAACCAGCTTTGACTCTTCCAGTTAAGAACATTTCAAAAACTGATAAGATCCGTTTAGAATAGATTCCTGTATTAATTACCAACACCCAGTTATAACTTGTAACCTTTAGTGAGGTTTAGTTAGTTACCTTTTCATAACTTTAACCCAGTCGGCATTTTATTACTGTAAAATATTATAAAAATGCAAGAGACATATAAAACACCCTTTATTCTATTTGCTGGAAGGTTTTTTAAAGCTACTTTACAGAAACATTTCAATAATCACACTTTAGCAATTAAAAAGTTACGTTGATGTTAATTTCTGTCCTTTTTTAATGGAGCCAGGAAAATATACAAAGACTAAGGTGCATATGTCTTGTAAAGTTTCTAAAGCCTAAACATATTTAAATGAATAAACTATACTATACTATATATATAGATGTGGACCTGGAAATGTTACCAACCATTGCAAAAAACTGAACAACTGAACACTGCCCATAGGGATTTTAATTCTTTAACGGATGTTCTGCAGCATTAAACTGAAACTTTAAGGAAAGCCATTCCATTTTAAGACTTGTAGCTAAATCGTGGATCATTACATTTGTGATCACCTCCCAAATTTCTGTTTCTCCTTAAGCTTTTCTGCAGGTATTGCACCCCCTAAAATATTTGTTCTATGTTCTTTTCTTGTAGAATGTATTTGCTCTACTTTTATTTCACATCTAGTCACTTCTTTTAAACCGTGGTACCTAAGTATGGTACCTTTGTGGTTTAAAAAACATCAAATTCATTCAATCTAACCAGTTTCATAGCAAATCTAAGAAGGCTAAATATAACAATAAAGCTAAATGAAGAAGTTATAAAGCAGCTGTGTTCAGCCTCCAGCCATAAAAAGCAATCTCGCTCAGCTGTTATTTATGCTTATTTCAACACACTGCGGCTATGAAGTCATTAGAATGGATATTAAAAGTGTTGTGAAAGCAGCAGAAAAGATTTCTGAAGCTGTGTTGTGATAAAAAGGTACAAATTCCACACACTTACCCCCCTGATCAGTGCTGACGGTGATGATGGCCACCTGCCGAGGGAAGGAGCTCATCTCTGACACACCGTTTAGTGACTCAATTTCAAATGTGTAGTTTGCGTGTGATGAGAAGTCCGTGACAGTCACACTGGCATTGGTCAGGCCCAAAGGCCGCGGGACGAAACGGAGATCATCCTCACAGAGTTGGCACTGGTTGGGTGCAGGGCCGCAGCGTTTGCATTGGACATTATACGTTAGATCCCGGCGACCTCCGGTGTCGCTGGGGGGTGACCACTCCAGCATTAGGCAGGTGTCATTCATGTTGAACAATAAGTTGCGCGGAGGAGATGGAGGGCCTGTGGGTAAAAACATCAAGATATAATTCATTATTTAATAAAATATGAAATTTCATCTATGCTAATACCTGTGGTGCAACATTTTGGTTTCATGCTTGAATTTAAGATAAACATAATATCTAATGTAGGAAGCTTCCACCAAGTAATACAACACCTACTCCAATTTTGAACATACAATATATTACCTTGTGCAAAACATAGTTGTTTAGATCGTAGGTTCTGACAAAAGTAATAGTAAATAAACATTATATGAAAATGAACAAAGTACCACATTGTTTTTAAAACATTCTTCGACAGAATTATAAAAAAAAAATAAAAAAAAACTTCAGTTCTGGACAGAAATCATGGTATCCATATAACATATTTTGTTGAACAACCTTTCGAGTCACTCACTACAATAAATGCTTCCTGTAACTACCAAAGAGACTTCTGGTCCTCTCAGCAGGTATTTTGGCTCACTCCTCCTGAAAAAACTGCTACAGTTTAAAATGGACCTTTTCCAGACAACATGTCTCAAAAGGATTTAGGTCAGGACTCATAGAGGGCCACTTCACAATGGTACAATGTTTTTCCTCTTAGCAATTTCTGGGTGTTTTAAGTGGTGTGCTTTGAGTCATTATCTTGTTGCAACACCCATGAAGACTAAGACTAAGGTTCTGACACTGCGCAGCAAAGTTTTTGCTTAAATCCCCTGATAGTCTTGATATTTGATCGTAACCTGCAGAGATTCAAGACACCATGTAACAAATTAAGCAAAGCATCCTCAGAACATACCGGATCCTCCTCCATGTTTCACAGTGGAGACACTGTTCTTTTCTTGATATGCTTTATTTTTCCATTTGTGAACATAGGGCTGATATGTCTTAACAAACAGTTGTCTCATTGTCTATAGGATATTCTCCAAAAAGCTCTGTAGCTTGTTAACTTTGGCTAATTCCACTCTGGCTTTGTAATTATTTGTTTTTAACAGTGTTATCTTCCTTGGTCATCTCCCATTAGTTCCATCTTTGCTTAAATGATAGATGGAGCGATCTGAAGTTTCCTTTGCTTTCACTGGTCCATGTTGAGTGTGGTAAACACCATGTCACAGAAAAAAAGCACAGCAACTACATGTAGCCCTATACATAGGCCCACTAACTGATTATAAGATTGTAGACACACATGATGCTAATTAGTAGACACACCTTGATATATAACATGTTCGTTTGGTCACATTATTTTCAGTCTTGTCTTGGGGTACAATCATTTTTGTCCAGGCCTGTTTCATAAGTTTATCTTTTAAAATCCTTCTATTGAAGCTTAGTTGAAATGTAATGTCTGAGCATTGTGGGATTTTCTTCATAAACCGAGGGGTACCAATAATTTTCCATGTGTATTTGTACAAGTGTTTCATATGAAACCAAGATGGAACTATTAACACTTGCATAGTTTATTTTTTTATTTTCTAGCATAAGCTGTAAAAGATTTTAAACAAATAAAAACTTTCTTGTCTACAGTTTCCCTAGTTTAAAGTCTGTTGCCAGACCTCTCTCCTGCAACAATGTTCCGCTGGGTAATTTACAAACAACAGCACTGTTAGAGTATTTGCATAATGTCACAGCTTATACAGCGTCTGCCTTATCTGCCTAACTGCATACCTCTCTTCGGCCTGGAAAATTTTGTTTTGTTTTATTGCGATACTGAGGGGAAAAATACTCACTCTAAGATGAAATAGTAAATGTAATAAAATATCATGTTCCATCTGATCTACTCTAAACCTCTCTGGTGTTATTCAAAACATTTTAATCTTTATCCTATATCCTTCCTCCTCTATCCTCTTATCCTTCTATATGCTCTCAAGAGATCTCACAACCTAATAAAGAGCCTCACATAATATATATTCTTGCTAGGTATATGCCGTAAAAAAAAATTAACATGTAATACAATTTTTCTTAGCGTTAACTGAAAGATCTAATAGATATAAACATTTAATTTGTTATCACAGAGTTCACAAATTAAAAATGCTTTGGCTGACAAACATGTCTGAATTATTAAAAGAAATTATACTAGTGAAGACCAAAAAGTGGTGTTGAGTCCAAAAGCCCACACATAGAAGAGGAAAACACTTGAAAGTCAGATTAACAGAAAACAGCAAAGGGAAATCCAACAGAGCAGAGTAATGACCTAAGATCATTATTAACTTTTAACTGATCTTTAATTGTATATAAATTTTTAATCAAATAGCTCTGGGAGAACCTCCTTTATTGGTGCTGAGATATTGTTTCATATGGCTGACGGTGTTATCTTTGTTATGTTTTTCCTCCTCTTTTTCTGACATACTGCTTGCAAAAAATGCCAGAGGATCACATGATTGTTTGTATTTTCTGCAGAAATGGGATTGCCAAATAGAAATGCTGTCATGTCTGCTTTTGAGCATCCAAAGTAGAAAACTCCAGGAGAACATCCACTGAATCATTACGTCAAAGAAAGCTACAATGTGTCATACCTTAATAAGCCTTTCAAAAATATAAACAAGGCAGTTAAGAGAACCACTGACTGATAGTATTGTTTGACAGGGGTGAGATTTTAGTGGCCATAAACTGCCAGTTCACAACTTTTATTTCTAGATAGTTTTTACTTAACAGGCAAACAGATGAGAAACTTTATATCTTTTAGGGTTTTATTGAGGCTATTTCAGCAAGATTAGTTTTCATGTTTCAATTACGAGTCTTTTTTTGTATTTTATAGAATTGACCAACAGACCCTCTAAAGACCAAATAACTGTTACTTAAGATCCCCGTAACAGATAACCAAAAAGCCTTATAGAAGTAAAACATGATGGAAACCAAATAAAATGCTTTGCACAGAGCTGAATGCACATAAGGCAATGCAGGTTTATTTGAATAGAACAGTTCAGTACAAATACAATTCTAAGTGCTTTACATGAATCAAACAATAAAAATTAAGGAAAATTAATGCAGAATAAATAAACTAGTCTTTTTTATACTGTGGCGCCATGTTGGTTTGTGATGTCATGAGCAGGACATAACTCATTCATTCTTCCCCAATTAATATGGGGAAACCCTTGGTAGATTAAATTAATTTTAGGGCAACATAGAGACAAGAATAAGCTTTATTTATTAGATTAATATTTGATACTTATTGGGCTGCTTACTACGCTTGGTGATTGATTGATTGATTGATTGATTGATTGATTGATTGATTGATTGATTGATTGATTGATTGATTGATTGATTGAACCTATTGATCTCAAGTGGAGAAATGTATATGTTACATCAGCTCAAATAGTCAAGGAGGAAGAATATGATTAAGGAAGAAAAAGGTGCATGGGATATACGTATGCACTATATACAGTACATCCACATATGACAGATTTTTTTTTTTTTTTAATAATAGGATTGTCATTTTTTTGAAGTTGGTATATCCTCCTTTTTAAGTGGAAGCTAAAAACCACATTGCTCCATTTAGATTGCACAACATGTAAACAACTTAATCACTACAGAACAGGAGAAGAAGAATGGAAAGAAAAATACAAACAAGCAGGCAAAGATAAGAGCAGTATAAATGTATCATAGAATTAGATTTTCAAATATAACTCTTATTGTTAGAGTAAAAACTAGGTATCTTATTTGACTTAATTATTTTTTTTTTTCAGGTCAGAAATGGGTATTTAACTTCTTTAGTGTAAAGGATAGCAAGAAACAGATCCAAGTTGATAAGAACTCATATTTCCATTATTGCTTGAAGACAAATTCTTTTGAGATGTCAAAAAAAAAGAGAGAATTTTGGCCTAGTGGTTAGAGCAGTTTGCTTTTGCTCTGAGAAGGTTGCAAGAACCTGGTTTGATCCCAACAGCCTCCACACTGTGTTACTGAGCAAAACCCTTAACACCACGCTGCTCCCCGGGCGCCAATTTCCCCATCGTGGGACAATAAAGGGACTTACATTACAAGTGTTTTTTCACTCTTTTGCTACAGTTCCACTGATTATGTAATGTAATGCCCCGTGTTTTCGTAAAATAACGTACACACACCACTTCTTCAGGCTTGTGTGCCAACAGTCGAGTCTTACAAGTCACCCGTAACAACGATAACTGATCTTTTAAAAAGCCTCTGTTGAATTCATACTTAGGCCCTTCTTGCTCCAAGGTTGTATTAGAAATAACCAAGAAATTCCCTTGTTATCTGTGAGCAGACATATTTTGCCCTAAATACTGAAACTTTTTGAAAACAACTCTATGAAGGTGCCTTCTAAAAATTAGATACCATATCTATACAGGTTCCATTACATTTCACATTTATTTTTCACAATTCTTTCTAGTGCAGTAAAGAGTCCAAGGTTATTTTATAGAACCTCCCTTACAATCGCCTTTGTTGTTGGCGTTTTTGTGCTCCCTAGATATAAGTGTTTGTGTGTCAGGGCAAGCATTGTGCTCTAGCAGGCAGCCAGCTGTCAACAGGGTGGAGTTAAAAGGCCTAAGGGATTTGAACACTCCCGTCCTGCCAAGCTCACTGTCTGCCAGGACAATGGGATGTTTCCCTCTTCTTCAAACCCCTCCCTAACGTTCTCTCTCTACCATTGCTAAAAATCTCAGCAGACAGGAGAGCTCCTCCTACTGATCTACCACTCCTGTCAGTGCGTCCATTCTCTCTCTTTATCTCTCCCTTCCTCCCTTGGCCATTATCTCACCTGCTCCATTCTCTCCATCAGGGAGAATCCACCCACCTACCCTCCTGCAGAGCAATCCCACTGCCATCAATCAGCTCCTATTCTCCTCTTAGGGGAAGATAGGTATCAGCGCCCTCCTTCCTTCCCCTCTTCACACTGTCTACTCCATCCACTCCTTACGTATTTCCCTTGCCTTTATCTCTCCTTGTGACATCTTCGCTTTCTTCCGCTCCGCTGTTGTCTTCCTCTTACTTTTCAATCTCCATTTTCTTCTGTCTTTTGACTTCACAGTTAAGCAAATTGTGTATGCATTAAATTACATTATGCAGGTAAGCAAGGCTTCACTTGTTTAAAAAAGTAGATATGAAATACGAATACAGCCTAAACGCTTTATTTTTGTGGTTGTCAGATCCCTCAAAAGGCTTTTCACGCTGTGTTTGTACTTGAAGCGAAAAAGCAGCCCTGAAGATTTGGAGTTTTCCTAAGGATGAATAGCTGTTGACAAACCATAAACAAGATCCTTAGTTACTTTACACTGTAGGTTACGTTCAATTATTTTAAGTGAGCATAATCCTATGCAACTCTCCAGAACTGTCAGAGGAACATAGAGAAAACAACTAAGGAAAGAACGTAAATAACTCACCACACTTGACTTAGTGTGAGCTTAAATGTGTAGATGCAGATGGTCACATATAGTATGATGATAACTGATCACTGTGAGCTTCATTCATTTCATTTACATACAGATTAACACCATGATCCAGATCATTTACAGAACTACAGAGTCAATTCAGTCCAGTCACAATATGTGGACCTTTACTGTTATCCAAAGTTCTTTGCCCTTTTTGTTTTCTCTTCAGTGCAGCAACGTTTGGCAGGCTATTCTGTTTAGCTGTGACACCGTCCTGGAGGGGTCATCGGCTGAGCTTTTGCTGCCAAGAACATCATGTTCTTTCTCTATAGATAATACACTTGGCTTTTTCTCTCAGTGTTTAAATCTCTGTCTCTCTCTTACACATATTGGATGAGTCTTTTCAGCAACTAACTCAATGTGCTCTTTTTTCATATAGACTTGACAGATCTGCTTAGCTGTTTCTCTTCTAGAGATAAAGCCACTAAATAAGCTACTAATGCCAATAACCTCTAACCCTTAATTCATAACTTCTATGCTCTTGTTGTCTCTATGCTCTGTCTTCTCAAAACCCCATTTCAGAATCAGAATGAGATTTATTGCCAAGTAGGTTTGCACTTACAAGGAATTTAACTTGGTGTTTATGGTGCAGACAAATTTGATATAATGCAGAATCTATAGCTATAAACAAAATATAAAACATACCATATACTATATACAATAAATAGTATATAGCCCTATACTATATACAGTACATAGTAGACTGTGTGATAATGTAACGCAGAAAGTCTGGAGATGCTACGTTGGTGTAGCCTCTAGGTCCTTGACAAATGAGGGACAGAGCCAGTGTCACAGGGGTCACTGGGCCTCGTTGATAAGGCTGGTAGCGGATGGAAAGAAACTGTTCTTGTGGCATGAGGTTTTGGTCCTGATGGACTGCAGCCTTCTGCCAGGGGGAAATGACTGAAATAGTTTGTAGCTGGTATGTGAAGGATCAGCCACAATCTTCCCTGCACGCTTCAGGGTCCTGGAGGCGTACAGACCCTGGAGAGATTTGGAAGATTGCAGCCAATCACCTTCCATGCAGACTGGATGACACGCTGCAGCCTACCCTTGTCCTTGGCAGTGGCACCAGCATACCAGCTGATAAAGGAGTAGGTGAGGATGGAGGAGATGGTGGAGGAGTAGAAGTGCACCATCATCGTCCTTGTCAGGTAAATTTTTTTCAGCTGCAACAGGAAGTAGGATGTGCAAAGCAACAGTTTGATATACCCAATATTGTCTCTTTTGCGCACAAATAATTTTTTTGTGGTGGACATGTAATTAACAGGATATATGTCAAAGCTATCTCAGAAGACAACAACAGCAGAAGAAGCAGTGGATCTGGTCTCCAGGAGGGAGTGATTTTTGTGATATCAGAGAGTGGTAGCAATATCCACTCAGCTGAACCTGTTCAAGGAGAATCCTTTCTCCATAATGAAGACTGTTGTGCTGGTTTAGACAGCCAAATGTTTATCTGCTATGTCTCTCCCTTAAGAAAAAAAAAAATAAATCATATCGTGCAAATAGCAATATGCACATGCACTTTCAAGAATTTGGTATCAAATTAGTTTATTTGAAAAATCTATCTTTTATGCATTAGACAGTTCACATACCAACTTTAATAAACTTTAATGGTTGTGGCAGGTTAAGGACTTCTAATTCATTTTCTATCTTACCTGTATTCTTTTTAAGAGTTTTAGTTGCACTTTAGGATGTTTGACTGCATTCAGCTGCAAAACATTTTTTTGTTTACCTTTTCGGTTTTCTTCTGTTGTTGAAGACATGATTACTGTGTGTATAATTGTGCTTGCATGCTATTAATTCTGAGCAGGAAAGTGCATGCAGCAGGACAATTGTGTCATTGTTGGCAAGTTCACTCTGAAGCCCTGATAAATGTGTCAGTTATAAACCTAGCTTTAGGTGCTGGGTGTTGGATGGACACAACTAACCCCTTCTCTTTTGTCTATATCTCCAAAAAACAAGTTTGTGTTTAACCTATGCTTAGTGCATTGTTTTTTGAAGGAAAAACTGAATAATGAACTATTTTAAACTTAAGAAAATAAAATACCTGGCTTTTTTTTTTTATGCATCAGGTCAACGGCGAAATCTAAACCTGAGTGGCAACCAGCCACAACCTGTAGGAGGGAGGATTCCAGCAGTTATTTAGAAGGTGAACCTGAACAGTCTACCTCTGCTGAAAGAAGGGCAGCAGCAGAAGAAGCGGCAGAAGAAAAGCCAAATGTTAAATGCTTGTTCTCACTAGTTAAGGAATTGGAATTTGAATATTATATAAATTCATGAAGTTGTTTTTTTGTTTTTTTACTTTAATATTGAAGGTTTACAGGTACTGAAAGCCAAAAATTGAGTATGTCAGAGAATTTAAATACCTCATCAAATTAGAAACGGCACGTTTCCTCAGAGTATCTTAATTTCTATGCACATAATAACTGACTGGAGCTTCTTTTACAAGAATTATTGCATTAATGCAGCATGGCTAGGAGGCAATCCATCTGTGGCTCCACTGAGGTGTAATGGAAGCCCAGGTTACTTTTAATACCCTGACTTGTCTGTCCAATCTTTGTCTTGAAAAAAGACAAGATGTTTATCACATTGACTCATATTTTGTGGGAACAAAGCACTTTAACTCAGAGTTGGACACATGTCCAAAATAGAGCATATATAAATTGTAAACTCTTTACTTATGATAGGAGATGGCAAGTTTAGAAAATTAGAAAATTAAATGGCAGTTTCTTTATTTGTTCGAGCAGTAAGTATAGATTTATCGTAACTCAGAGGCCTTTCTACCCTCACATGGCTATTCTCTCATGTTAGAGCAGTGAGCTGTTCATGCAGCTTCGAGTCAAACACAATATGTTTTGAAGAAATCAGATTCAATTTTTAATCTGTTCCAACGAGAACTGGTTGCAAGATGTGTGTTTTGGCCTTAACACTATGATCATTGAAACAGCTTTGAGTAGCTTTGCCAAAACAGAAAAAAATACTATTTTATACTCACTGAAGTCTAACTCTAAATGTTTCTGCAATTTGTTCATCATGTCTGGGGGAAAAATACTCTAATCTGATAACCCTCCTTACATTGTTCAACCTACTACAGCACAGATTTACAACTTTGAGCAATACAACCTGAACCTGTTCTTAAATCCAACAGATTAGTGTAATATGAAGTAGATTAATCTAGAATAAACAGAGATCTCTTTAAGCACAAAGGGAAATTCAGAAACAAAATGTGCAGATCACCCGCCAAATAGAAACTTCAAACATTGCCTGGATCTTTCTACATAAATAATCCCATCCCTGTCATTTAATGTTTCCCAAGAACTTCCTGTTTGTAAAAATAATACGGTAACAATTATTATGCCTAACCTCATCCCTTGAGGCAGATGCATCTCTAGCCACTTAGTGATTAAACTTTTTGTAGCAAACAACACAACTTAAAAGTACTGTAAACTAAAAGCGTCTCCATAGCATTAGTGCTTTGTCTTGCCATAAGAGACAAATACACTCTTCCACCCCAGAGAGCTTTCAGACGTGGACTCAGTCTATCTCGGTGACAGCTAAATGGCTTTTTAATTAAAGGAGAATTAGTCCGGTTAAACTGTAATTTAATGCAAATATGAAGTCGTAATGACAGTCAGTGAATCATCGATGAAGACAAGGCAGCTGAACAAAAGCCGTGTAATTCATCCAGAGACTCTCTAATGTTCAGCTTCACACCAGATAAGTCCAAAAGACGACGCTGGATTTATGGCTCTGGCTAATTCTGGAGAAATGCACCAACTCCTCAGACACAGTAATAAACCTTCCCAGATTGTCAGACACACAAAAGCATTAAAATATTTAATATGAGTTTATACTGAAATAATTAAAGCTTAATCAGTCAGCAATACAAAATGACATTTTCTATCTCTGTAATAGGACCGAGAATGGCTTCAGAGAATCCTGATTCTACATTGTAAATCTTCTGGGATGATTTCTCTCTTCATTTACCTCGCTGTAAACCTATCAAAGATTTCCCAGGTTGTTTATCTTGCTGATATGCACATACAGAAAGGAAGCTTGTTCAAGCAAATGTCAAGCTTCCTTTTTAGGGGGTGGACTTACGTGTGCAGGCCATTGTTGGGGGATCTTTCTCAGCTCTGAAGAATCCTTTTTCACAGCGGCAGATTGAAGCACCTTCTCCGTAGCTCAAACTGTGTGGAGGACACTTTGAACACTTGATGTTTCCTGCATATGCCTTGTAGAACCCTGGGCGGCATGCTGAGAGGAACAAAGAGACAATAAGATAAGTTGTGAGCCTGTGGGCACACTATGTCAGTGATGTTTAGTAAAATCATCTACAACTGAACAACACTGGTGAAAAGTATTTACCCTGATTTATCCTTTTGTTTTTCTTTTTTATACTTTATTATGTCATGAATAAAAACTTCAATATATCTTTAATAAGATGAGATGGAGAAATACAAAAGTAGATTTGAGAATAGGAAAGAAAATGGTTTTCATGCTTTACAATCTGAAACAAATGTTGTTCTTATGCATTTAATCCCTTTTACTCTAACATCTCTTCATCAAAATACTGTGACCAATCACCATTAAAAGTGATGTAATTAGTAAAATTGGAAAATTTGCGTTTGATTAACCTCTTAATATCCACCTCATATGTGGGAAATTCGCCTATTTTGCATACACAAATGGAAAAGCAAAACACTTAGGAACTGTAAGCCCAAATTACATGTGTGATACAATATTTGAAAGCTAACACCTTCTAGATTCTAAATATATATATGAAAATTGCATCAAGCCCAAGCTGCATCAGTTCAAACATGACTCAAAGTTGTTTTTTTATTCTCGAAAATAATAAGTGTTTTTAGAACAGCAGTTATAAAGACATGCTTGCTTGTTGTGGCTGCTTTGTCTTGGTACATTTAGACATGCTGCTATAATTGTGCTTTGGAGCTCACTATGTCCATAAAATGAACTAGGTGGTTAAATTGTGGGGAATCAAAGCTTTCCAACGATGCCTAACATGTCTATATTGGCAAACATTTTACCAGTGTAATTTTCATGCATTCTGAGTTAAATGTTTTAAAATGGGTCACCGGCAACCCGGTGAGTTTTGAGAGGTTAAATGTTAGAATACAGCTGGCCTGTATGGATGTGTGGCAATAAGAAACCTAACATTAAAACAAGTTTGACATTTTTCCAGAACTCTTGCAGAAGATACAGCAATGATATGGAGAAAGTGCTCTAATCAGTGAAGCCAGGGTGCATCTGAAATGCATGGTGGTCAATTTCCCGGAATGGGGGCGGAAATTGCAGCGGACACCATGTTTATAATAATAATAATTAATAATTGAACTTTATTGATCTCACATTGAAGAAATTCAACTCTGCATTTAACCCATCCCCCCAGGGGTGGGCTGCCATTGTGCAGCACCCGAGGAGCATTGTGGGGGTTAAGGGTCTTGCTCAGGGACCCAGAGTGGAGGCTGTGGGTATCAAACTGGGTACTCGCAATCTTCTCAGTGCACAAGTGCACTGCTCTAACCATTAGCTCAATACTCCCCTTGTTAACACAGCATAACACATTAGACTGAGAGCATCTCTCTGAGAAGAGAAGAAACATTAACAGACTAGAACTCATCCAGAGAACTTAGCTTTATTTTATTTTTCTACCTAGATTTTGAGATGCACAGAAGTGGGTTGTAACTAGTTACATCTAGCTATTCCTCTTAAGGTGCACATACCTAACAAATACCTATCTTGCTAGTAAGACAATATACAGTTGTGCTTGAAGTTTTAATATGTATGAATATAAAAAACATAATAATAGATAGAAAAATGACTAAATACTAATTTGGTAAAATATTGTTTTTTATATTGTATTTGAAAAAAACTATTCTAAAAAAACAAACAGACAAAAAATTATTATGAACAGTGCAGAAGTCTGAATGATTATTTCTGAATATTTCAGAAAACAACGGCTTTCAGTGACTGCCTCACAGTGTTGCTTATCTATCTATCTATCTATCTATCTATCTATCTATCTATCTATCTATCTATCTATCATAATTCATGACTTCCAACTTTCAGAATTGTATTATTTTTTTTATTTATATAAATGGATTTTTCATAGCTGTTTTTTAAAGCGGTATGTAAACTGTCAATCACAACTGTATAAAAGCATGTAATCATAGGTCATTTTGTGTAAAACTAAATATGTGTGACTCTAAGATTTGCCTTTTTTCTGTAGAGAGCAGGTCTATAGTTTCAAAGATGTCGAAATCCAAATGTTCCACTGAATTAAGAAGACGTTCTTAAACTTTGGATGGAAGTTAAATTCTATATAGATTCCCCCGAGTTGTGAAAAGATCTGCTAAATCAGAAAGTGGGTGAACATGCTATGAAAAGTCTTTCCAAGAGTTAAGCATGCTGAGATGAGTAAACAGTCTGCATAGGGAAGTGATGTTCTTAAAGGGCTGCAGTTACCTTTCACTAATGTTATCACTACATTGCTGTGGTATTTGGAACTTTGGTCCCCAGTGCTGTACACTGGAAATAAAGCAACTGTTTCTGGCATTTACTTAATCATATTTAGTTACTTTAACTTTTTGTTTTCATGTTAGCATGGTAGGACATAAAACAATTGTGTTAAATTAACTAAATATGATTAAGTAGAAACCATAAACGGATGCATTACTTTTTTTTCTGTGTATAAGTGGTGTGTCTTGGATCGCTAATGTCATGTTACAATTTGACGTGTGCTAGCCTGACTTCCCTGGCAGTTAAATTGTAAAACACAGTTTCTGAAGCAATATACGGAAATAGTGTAAGATTTTTAACAGTACCAAAGCCAGCATACCTTCCATACTCTACAATGGAATAATGGGGATAAAAGACATGACTGGACAGAGAATTGCTTGTAGAACAATAAAGTTTTGTTCCTATAATAAAGACAATCATTTCAAATATAATGTTGCAGTAATTAATTATTTTAGGCCTTCACATATACGATTTTTAAAAAAACCCACCAAATATATGGTGACCCATCATCTAACAACAAACAGGCATTTCTCTTCATAAAGCTTAGAAAAAGGAATGAGAAATCTAACATAGATCACCTGAAATGTACTTATAAATAGGATACTTCATTAGATATACACAAAATCGACTACTTATACCACTACCATTATAACTAACAAAAGCATCAGTCTTCAAAATACTACTACTTAAATTCTTATTGAAGGATTTTTAGTAATGGGAGAAACTGGCTTTAGTAACACAAGCTAAAATATTTAAAGTGAATCACCTTAAACCAAAACAAGCTTTGTGTTTCTCCACTGATAGGTGGGATAAAATGAACAGTGGGAAGAACAAGGAGATGTCCAAACAAATCAAATGAGAGCAATTAGGATACAGACAGGATAGGATAACACAAAGACTCGGACACAGTGGCAGATACTAATTACAAGGGTTTTTAAGTTGTTAATGCGAAGTTTTGCTTGCTAAATTACAGTTATTCTAATTGGTCTTTTTATCCTCTGTTGAATGTTGGCATACATGCATGGTGTGCAGCACACAAACACACCCACAGCCAATCTGTATTAGTATGATAAGTGACATCCCCCATAGCGTATCAAGGCTCCCTCTGTCATTAACCTCTGATACCAACATGTCCTTGAGTCAAAAACCGTCAGTCAGCTCCCACACCCCCACAGACCCCGTTTCAGACTCTGTCAACCTAATGATGCCTCTGCCCGACCTTCACTGAACAGAGGGGATGATCCTTTTTCGAACCGCTGTGTCCTGCTGCAATCTGTCTAGAAGAGTTTAGTTGCAAGGCCACAGTGATGCTGTACAGTGGGTGACCATGCTTCATCTGAGCTGAAACACAAAGTGGCGTTCACACACACCGTATTTACCCAACCCTACCAAACACCAACACCTTTGGAAGGAGGACTAGTAAGAAACAGCAAACTGATCTCAAGTAGACAGTGTATTGAATGTGAAAGAAGCCGGGAGATTGTGAGGGGAAAACAAAAGGTTGATTTAATGATCAAATGTTGACTTTGATCGATCAAGGACCTCTCCCACAGCATACGGGCAATTATCTGCATTGCTAACATCATAATAGGGGGGTATTTACTATAAAACCAAACTATTCTCCGAACAAACACATTATCTAACTTGCACAGAATTTTATGTTTTAAATGAGTGCCAATGATCAAAGTGATCTGTGTGCATATGAGCCCCAAAAAACTAATGTTTCAGAATGACCTAAAGCAAAAAAAATATGTTTTCTTATTTCTTTAACACAGTTTTATCAGCTCAAAATAAATATGTTTCATGCTGAAACGTATTAAGAATCGCTTTTAAGAGCATATTTCATGATGAAATTTAACACAATAGCAATGATTCTTCACGTCCCACTAAATTGCTCATTGCATTTATTGAATGAGACCTCCCTAGGCATGTTGAGTGAATTACAGCTGTTTTTGAGTTATTTTAAATTCATGGTTTTAAATAAATGGCAAAAAAAAAAACATCTGTTTATCTGTTAGGAGTTTTGTGCAATAGTAAAAAATGAATGGAATGGTTTACTACTTGAAAATAAAGCCATGATGTTGTTCAAACCATCAGTAATGCTGTTATCAGAAGACATGACAGAAGTCAAAATGTTCAGGAACTTGTCAAGAGTTGTCCCTACTATAAAATTGAGGCTTCTGGGATTTGCCAAATACAGTCTACTCAAGTTTGCTACGATTGGGGAAAAAAAGCTTTTTTGATGCAAACTGAGAGCTTATAGAAAGGTGAACTGAATCAGATGCTACATATTCAAACAGAAACTGAATGAAAGGGAAACTAATAATAATAAAAAAGGAAACTAATCAAAAAAGCTACAATAATGACCCAAAATATACACCTGAAAATATGTGTGGACCACCGAGTGTATAATCTTAACTGTGAGCCCTAAAGAAAAAGCATAAAAATGTGAACTGTTTAAGGTCTTCAGCATTACAAATGTGTGAACACATAGTCAAGACAAGACATTGTTTGTCTCACTAATATCTGTTCTGTGAATAACCATTTATACATATATATATATAGTTTTTCTAAGAATA